GGGAGGGGGCTCGGTGGTCTCTGAAGTTTGCTTGTTTTACTTGCAGACGTCTCGTTACCCAAACTAGGTAACGTCATCAGTGCTGGTTATAATCGTGAACGCTGACGAGGTTACCTAGTTTGGGTAATGAAACGTCTGCAAGAAAACAAGCAATCTCAGAGAGCATCTAGGACGGTCTAGGACTTCACAGTCCTCCTCCTCCTCCTCCTCTACATACCACCCTTCCCTCTAGCACTGATGATGTAACCTAGTTTGGGTAATGAAATGTCTGCAAGAAAACAAGCAATCTCAGAGAGCATCTAGGATGGTCTAGGACCATGATGGCGAACCTATGGCACACGTGCCACAGGTGGCAGTGGAGCCATATCGGTGGGCACACGCGTCATATCGGTGGGACTTCTGGAAGTTGGCAAACGGGCCGTTTTTGACCTCTAGAGGGCCTCTGGTGGGTAAGGAAGGCCATTTTCGTTCTCCCCAGGCTCCTAGAGAGGCTCTGGAGCCTGGGGAGAGCAAAAAACGGGCCTACCGTGCCATCGCGTGCCAAAAGCGGGGGGAGCGTGGGAGAGTCACACACACATGTGCAGGGGGGCAGGGCACATAGAATTATGGGTGTGGGCATGTGCATGTGTGGCCCCCCCGCGCTCCCCCACTTTTGGCACGCGATGGCAAAAAGGTTAGCCATCACTGGTCTAGGACTTCACAGTCCTCTCCTCCTCCTCCTCCTCCACATACCCCACTTCCCTCTAGCACTGATGATGTAACCTAGTTTGGGTAATGAAATGTCTGCAAGAAAACAAGCAATCTCAGAGAGCATCTAGGATGGTCTAGGACCATGATGGCGAACCTATGGCACACGTGCCACAGGTGGCACATGGAGCCATATCTGTGGGCACGCGCGTCATATCAGTGGGACTTCTGGAAGTTGGCAAACGGGCCGTTTTCGGCCTCTAGAGGGCCTCTGGTGGGTGAGAAAGGCCATTTTCGTCCTCCCCAGGCTCTAGAGAGGCTCTGGAGCCTGGGGAGAGCAAAAAACGGGTCTACCGTGCCATCGCGTGCCAAAAGCAGGGGGAGCGCGGGGAGTCACGCACATATGTGCGGGGGGGGCAGGGCACATAGAATTATGGGTGTGGGCATGTGCATGTGTGGCCCCCCCGTGCTCCCCCCACTTTTGGCAACGCGATGGCAAAAAGGTTAGCCATCACTGGTCTAGGACTTCACAGTTCTCCTCCTCCTCCTCCTCCTCCTCCACAAACCCCACTTCCCTCTAGCACTGATAATGTAACCTAGTTTGGGTAACGAAATATCTACAAGAAAACAAGCAAGCACCAAGGACCCCACATATCAACCCTGAGCTACAAAGATTCTCCTTTATTAGATGGCCTAAGTGACTCTTCCAACTAAGCGTTCGTGATCTTCAAGAAGCTCCTATGACGTTAATTTGGAAGGACCACGTTTCTCCTCTGAGGAAGATCTTACAGAGGTTCATCCATTACGTAGCATCATCTCAAAGTAAGGTCTCTATTACACTAAATCTACAGGTAAGATGATCTCAAATGTGAGATCCAGAGTGACCTCTGTCAATGTCTCCAATCAGTGTGGTCTAGTGAGTAAGGCACCAGTCTAGAAAGTGGGAGACTGTGAATTCTAGCCCCGCCTTAGGCATGAAAGCAGACTTTGGACCAATCACCAGGAGCCCGTGAGTTTTAGTGCTGCTTTAGGTATAAAAGCAGGCTGGATGACTTTGGGACAATCGCAGGGAAATGGTGAGTTCTAGTCCTGCCTTAGGCATGAAAGTCTTCTGCCCCAGCTCCGGATTCCCAAGGATTGTGACACACACCAACGGTCCTTATCAAAGTTATAACGTACCAAGAATAAACAAAGTCCGGCAAAGGTTGGCAACCAGCCCAGAAAACAAGATACGATAAGACACTCACTCTCCAAAATGCTCTGTAATAATTACATGTTGTTTCCAGCAAGAAATTACTAACTGCGTGCGACTTAAATAGGCTAAGGGAGTGGCCAATTATCCTCAAACCTTACTCTCGAGGAGACCTCCTCCTCCTGAGTAGCCACTCCTGCCTTTTGGCAGCCCTGCGTGCTCGAGCATTGAGGAGAGGCTCCTCCACTTCGCTCTCTCCACTTGAAGGAGCCTCTGGAGGTTCTGAAGGCCCTGGCTGAGTCTCTGCCTCTGGCACCACATCCTCTTCAGCCTCCTCGCTGTCCGATGTGAGCGCCGGCTGTGCAGGCTGCTGGCATGACCCCACACCAGCCTCCTCCTCGTCGGGATCAGCCATGATCCGCACAGGCCGCTGGCGGGCCACAACAGAAAGCCAACTGGGTGACTTTGGGTCAACCACTAGGAGATGGTGAATTCTATTCCTGCCTTAGGCATGAAAGCCAGCTGGGTGACTTTAGGCCAGTCCCTCTCTCTTAGCCCAACACACCTCACAGGGCTGTTGTTGTGGGGAAAATAGGAGGAGGAAGGTGTGTTGGATATGTTCCTTGCCTTGAGTTCTTTGTATAAATAATAAAGGCAGGATAGGTAAAGGTTCCCCTCGCACATATGTGCTAGTCGTTCCCAACTCTAGGGGGCGGTGCTCATCTCCATTTCAAAGCCGAAGAGCCAGCGCTGTCCGAAGATGTCTCCGTGGTCATGTGGCCGGCATGACTCAACGCCAAAGGCGCACGGAACGGTGTTCCCTTCCCATCAAAAGTGGTCCCTATTTTTCTACTTGCATTTTTCACATGCTTTCGAACTGCTAGGTTGGCAGAAGTTGAGACAAGGAACAGGAGCTCACCCCGTTACGTGGCACTAGGGATTCGAACCGCTGAACTGCCGACCTTTCGATCGACAAGCTCAGCGTCTTAGTCCCTGAGCCACCGCGTCCCTTTTTAAAGGCAGGATACAAATAAATAAATAAATACTCTGTGATTTTATGATTTAGCTCTGGAAGAACAACGCTCTACACTGATATTTTTGGTAAGGTAATGGAGGCGTCTTTGCTTTATGTCTACTATAGCCGAGAAAAAAAACCTCTTTACAAAAACAGAATTGGCAGAAACATTAGTTTGAAAGCCTGCGTTTCAATAACAAACCACTTTCAAATATTTAGCAGTTAACATAATAATAAGAGACACCCACAAGTGAACAGGTTCCATTCATGGATTATGGACAGCAGGACACCTGAGTCAGATTAAAAGCATTTATTCTATAAACACTGAGAAATCATTCTAAAAACCCACATTTTAACAAAGAATCGACCCTTCTGAAAATGTCCATCAAATTCCGCATACCCTGTGAACTAAAAGGTACAATTAACTAGACTGGTAAATAATCAGGTTTCATTTTTAAATGAATGAATGAATGAATGAATGAATGAATGAATGAATGAATGAATGAATGAATGAATGAATACATACATACATACATACATACATACATACATACATACATACATAAATAACCTCTGTATCACGTATCCTTTAATGTCCCATAAGGGACATTGAAGGATACGTGATACAGAGGTATTGGCTGAATTGGCTAGGAAGGAATAAAACTACTGATTTGCTAAAAAAACCCAAAAGATAAAGTACTACATAAACAGAAGAGAATATTTGTAGCTCAAGTTTGAACTGTGAGGTCCTAGGACCGTGATGGCGAACCTATGGCACGCGTGCCACAGGTGGCCCGCGGAGCCATATTGGTGGGCACGCGAGTGTTGACCTAGCTCAGCTCCAGCGCGCATGCGCTCACCAGCCAACTGATTTTCAGGCCTTCTGGTCCCACCGGAAGTTGGGAAACTGGCTGTTTCCGGCTTCTGGAGGGCCTCCGGGGGGATGGGGAAGGCTGTTTTTGCCCTCCCCAGGCTCCTAGAAATACTCTGGAGCCTGGGGAGGGCGAAAAATGGGCCTACCGGGCCATCGTGTATCAAAAGCAGGGGGGAGCGTGGGGGGGGTCACATGTGCATGTGCAGGAGGGCGGGACACATTGAATTATGAATGTGGACACCCACACCCGTGACCCCCCCCCTCCCACCGCTTTTGGCACGTGACGGCAAAAAGGTTAGCCATCACTGCCCTAGGAGCATTCTCAGCTTGGTGGTTTTCTTGCAGACGTTTCATCACCCACATAAGTAACATTATCAGTGCTAAAAGAGAGTGGAGTTTGGCTCTGTTAATACACAAGTGGCTTGCCCTGTCAAGCACGCGCCCAAACCCCCCAAATGCAATGTGCGTGTGGCTTCCGTGAATGAGCCCCGTCCCCCCACAGATGCACACATTGCCCCCTGCATGTGCCCTGTCTCCGAGCATGCACACGTGCCCCCTGCACACCCCTTACCCCCCACACATGTGCACGCGCCCCCCCCCTCGCTCATGGCTTGCCTCCTGCACATGTGTGGCAGAGCCCCAAAGACCAGCTGGCTAGCGGGAGGCATGTGCGCATGCACAGAGGAACTGAACTGGGGTGACGGCTCACGTGCCACCAGAGAGGGTGCTGCGTGTCACTTCCAGTACACGTGCCATAGGTTCGCCATCACGGCGCTAGTATATAAAATAGAGTAAGCCCCACTCCCTTCTAGCGCTGACAATGTTACCTAGTTGGGTCATGAAATGTCTGCATATAAACAACCAAGCTCAGAGAGCTAAATGGAATATTTAGAGGGGATTGGGGTGAATTGTCATGTGACAACATTGACCCGGTTGCATTTACAGCATCCCGTCTCATAATCACGTGACTGCGTTTTACGATGGTTTTGCCCAAAACTTGCATTTACTTCCGGTTTTGGGAAAACCTTGGTGTAGCAAACGATGGATTTGCTTAACAGCCGCGGCCTTCGCATTTGTGACCGCTGCATTTGCTTAACGATTGGAAAAAACGTCGTTGCAATATATGACCGTAAGGGGCAGTCTCAGTTATGGTCATAATTCGAGGACTATCTGTAAAGACAAAGCAGGTTGATTTGAACCTTTCAGAAGCTGAAAACAAGATGTCCGCCCACCACAGATGGCATCCGTTAAAAGTGTCAAAATTATCCCAATTCCAGCAGGTACCTGTCTTCGTAGGTCTCTCGTCTTCTTAGTCATCTTGTCAATTGCGATGTTCAGAGGGTCTCCTTTCTCCTTCCTTCCAGTCTGTTTAAAAAAAATAATAATAACATATATTAAGAAATTAAGCGGAAATAAAAGAGAGATATAAACTACAGGTGGTCCTTGACTTACAATTATTTTTTTGGGGTGACCGTTTCAGGTTTCAACAGCACTGAAAAAAAAGGGACTTAGGACCAGTTTTCACACTTACGACCATTGCGGCATTCGCATTTGGTCACATGATCAAAATCCAGATGCATGGCAACATGCATGTACTTCTGACAGTTGTAGTGTCTTGAGGTCACGTGATCACCTTTTTCGACCTTCGGCCTTCGAAGCAAAGTCAATGTGGAAGTCAAATTCACTGAACAACCACAGTTGAACCCCAAAATTCCATGGGAAAGCAAGTTGTTAAGTGAGTTTTGCCCTATGTGATGATTTTTCTTGCCACAGTTGTTAAGTTGGTAAAAGTAAAGTTAGTTGTTACCAACTTAACAACTGTGGCAAGGAAGGTCGTAACATGGGGCAAAACTCACTTAACAACTTAGTTACCAGTGGAATTTTTAGGCTCAATTGTGGTCATAAGTCAAGGACTACCTATACATATGGCATTGGCCTATCATACATACAATTCTCTCAAAGGATGGTTACTTTGTTTATTTGTGCCAGAAGCATCACAATTAAAATAAGGATACTATAAGACCATGGTGGCAAACCTTTTTGCTGTCGCGTGCCAAAAGCATGGGGACCGTGTGTGGGGGGGGTGTCACACACGTGCGTGCCTACATCCATAATTCAATGCACCCCGCCCCCCCCTGTATGTGTGCATGACCCCCCCGAGCTCCCCCCGCTCTTTTGGCACGTGATGGCACGGTGGGCCCGGTAGGCCCGTTTTTCGCCCTCCCCAGGCTCCAGAAGCTTTCTTGGAGCCTGGGGAGGGCGAAAACGACCTTTCCCACCCCCCTGGAGGCCTTCCGGAGGTCGGAAATGGCCCGTTTCCCGACTTCTGGTGGGCCAGCAAGGCCCGAAAATCAGCTGGCCGGTGCGTGAATGCGCGCTGGAGCTGAGCTAGGGCAACGCTTGCGTGCCCACAGATATGGCTCCATGTGCCACCTGTTACACGCGCTCCATAGGTTTGCCATGACTGCTATAGGACATAAAATTTACACCATATAAAATAGCAGATTAAAATAGGTACAAATTAAACAGGTGTTGCAAGATCCAATCTGGCTCGGTCACTAGGACCAGAAGTTTTGTATATCTCTGGTCCCGGTGATCGACCCAGATTGGATCTTGCAACAAAATTATCCTGGGACACATCTATTTGCTTTCGTTCATAAACGGATCTTGTCCAGAAATCTTCTGTTTAAGATCAAAGGATGGTATCAACAAAGCATCTGTAGACCAGCAGATCTCTTGCCTGCTGAAGGAATCAAGGAATCTCCTGGATCCTAATAATCATCCAGGAAAACCAAACCAAAGCAAAACGTTTTACAAATGAGTTTATAATATCATATGAGGTAACTTATCATCATTACACACTTGGGACGTCAATGCACCAATTCAGAATTCCCCCCGAAAAAAAAAAAAAAGAAGAAACATTACTGATCTGGTTTTTAATCCACTGAAATTAACCTTCGTTACGATAGAAAATATTCAAAATATTCCAAAGGTTTTTAGTTTTGTAAGCCGCCCCGAATCTGAGCGTGAGTGGGTGGCCATATAAATTTTCAATGAAGGAATGGATGAAGGAAGGAAGGAATTTGGTTGTGATCATTTTGAATAAAAAGCCCTTTCTCTTCCTGAAGTTCCACTCTAAATGTTTAGCTGTCTTTCAACTGGCTCTTTATCAATTGATTTAAGACTTTTCCCCAAAGGGAAAGATTGCCAGGTAGCTGGCGTCGCGGTAAAAGGCCTGCAAATATCGGTCCTGTTCCCAGTGAAATAATCCACTTTACGGGAGGATTTAAGCAAAGGATTTCGTCTTTGTGGACAATTTTGTTTTTCAGGGAAAACGCTCAGCAAATCCAGCGGTTTTGAGGGCTGCTCGAGAATGACATTTCTGTAACGCCTTGGCTCGGCTGAGCAACTCAATAGCTTGAACAAACTCACAGTGTGTTACATCAAGAACTTGAAGAGTGCCATACGCAGCTGGGCGACTGGACGCGCCTATTATCCAAGAAGTCCCGCACTCCAGTGGATTTTTTTTCCCCAGTTTAGATTAAACCGTTAGATTATTAAGAGTCACACATTTCTGCTTTGAATAGGTCTAGTTTTTCTCAGTTGGAGGCTCCTTGGTGCTCTCTGAGCCTGGTTGTTTTCTTGCAGGAAACATTTCATTACCCAAATAGGTAACATCAACAGAGCAAACCCCACTTCTTTCTGGAACTGATGATGTTACCTAGCTGGGTAATGAAACGTCTAATCAGAGCACCAAAGGCCCACAGTTTTCCTCCTTTCTTCTTCCTCCTCCTCTTCCTCCCTCCTCCTCTTTCTTCCTTCCTTCTCCTCCTCTTCCTCCCACACCCCACTCTCTTCTAGCATTGATGATATTCCCTAGTTGGGTCATGAAACGCCTGCAAGAAAACTATAAAACTGAGAGAGCACCAAAGGCCCACAGTTTCCCTCCTCTTCTTCTTCCTCCTCCTCTTCCTCCTCCTCCTCTTCTTTCCTCCTCCCAAACCCCTCTCTCTTATAGCACTGATGATATTCCCTAGTTTGGGTCTGCAAGAAAACCACGAAGCTCAGAGAGCATCATGGACCCCACAGTTTTCCTCTTCCTTCTCCTCCCACTCCCTTCTAGCACTGATGATATTCCCTAGTTGGGCCATGAAACGTCTGCAAGAAAACCACGAAGCTCAGAGAGCACCAAGGACCCCACAGATCAACCCTGAGCTACAAATATTCTCTTCTACTCAATCTAATTTTCAGAAGTTAAAGAAGGAAGCGATCCTTGGGGAAGATAAGGAAGCTAGAGGTGGGGTGAGGGGAAGCAGAGGAAAACTGAGTATGGAATTATGCAAAGCCAGGAGCGGCGAACGAGAGGAAGATTTAAGGACATTTACTGAGTAAATCAAAACGATCACAACACCAGAATATTCAGGCTGCATGACTGATCAGCTGTGCTGAGCTCTGAGAAATGTTACCCGGCTAAGAAAAATGGTCGTGACATCAAATGTAATCCACGTAAAAAATGAAATGTTTGAGAAGATCATCTGTCCCGGATAATGGAAGTTGTCCAAAGATGGGTACTTTTACTTGAATTTAAGTTTGGAGGTGGCTGGAAATGCAGGAAGGTGGGCTGTCATTTCATCTTCAGTCTGTCCCTCCTTTAATTCTACGGAAAATGATAACTCTTAACTACAGGCAGTTCTCTTGACAATGAGGAGTTTTGCCCCCATTTTGCAGCCTTTCTAGCTACGGTTGTTAAGTGAATCACTGCAGTTCTTAATAGCAATAGCACTTAGACTTATATACCACTTCATAATGCTTTTACAGCCCTCTCTAAGCGGTTTACAGAGTCAGCATATGTTGCCCCCAACAATCTGGGTCCTCATTTTACCCACCTCGGAAGGATGGAAGGCTGAGTCAACCTTGAGCCTGGTGAGATTTGAACTGCCAAATTGCAGGCAGGCAGCAGGCAGCAGGCAGCAGAAGTAGCCTGCAGTACTGCACTCTAACCACTGTGACACCGTGGGAAGGAAGGAAGGAAGGAAAGAAAGAAGGAAGGGAGGGAGGGAGGGAGGGAAAGAGAGAGAGAGAAAGAAAGAAGGAAGGAAAGAAAGAAAGAAAGAAAGAAAGAAAGAAAGAAAGAAAGAAAGAAAGAAAGAAAGAAAGAAATAGCAATAGCATTTAGCCTTATATACCCCTTTACAGTGCTTTCCAGCCCTCTCTAAGCAGTTTACAGAGTCAGCCTCTTGCCCCCCAACAATCTGGCTCCTCATTTTACCCACTTCAGAAAGATGGAAGGCTGAGTCAAGACAGTTGTTAAGGGAGTTCTGCCCCATTTTGCGGCCTTTCTTGCCACGGTTGTTAAGTGAAATGCTGCAGTTATTAAGTTAGTAACACCGTTGTTAAGTGAATCTGGCCATTCTGACTTTGCTTGTCAGAAGGGTGCAGAAGGGGATCATGTGACTCCTGGGGCACTGCGACCGTCATAAATATGAACCCATTGCCAAGGGTCCGAATTTGGATCACGTGACTCTGGGGATGCCGCAACAGTTGTGAGTGTGAAAAAAACCCCCAGACATAAGTTATGGAGATTTCTCGATCATCTAAATCACGGTTGTCCCAGAGGTGCTTTTTTCCCGAAAGACAACTGGACTTTTCTTGGTTTCTCCTTTCAAATCGTTTCGCTTCTCATCCGAGAGGCTTCTTGAGAACTGAAGACGTTCTGACGAAGCTTCTTGGAGGAGAAGCAAAACGATTTGAAAGAAAAAAGAAAGAAAGGAAAAAACCCACCAAGAAAGTGCAATTGCCTAACGAAAAGAACACCTTTGGGATAGCGCTAAGTCACATTTTTCAGCGGTGCTGCAACTTCAAACGGTCACTAAACGAATGGTTGTAAGTTGAGGACTACCTGTGCAAGGCTGTAGAAGTGCCCCGTTTTAGGACAGAAGTCTTCCTGCTTTCCCCCACAGGAGGAAAGACCACTGTTTTGTAACTTTCCCTACCGGTTCGCAAACATAATCCCATCCACACATGCGCCCGGCCTTCCACGCATGTGCTTTGCTGGCATGCACACCTTCCACGCATGCTCTCGGCCTCAAAAACGTGCCTAAATAGGATGGCATAGATCCGGGGCGGGTTGGCGGGGAAACCTGTGATTTCCGCTACCAGTTCGGGCAAACTGGTGCGAACCGGCTGAATACCACCTCTGTGTTGTGGCTCCGTCCTCCGAGCCTATCTTATCGGAGGAAGAAGGCTCCGAACATGAAGGAGAGGAGACGGCCAGGTCTCCCTCTCCAGGACCCTCCTCTCTGGCAATGCCTCTGGAGGACACCGAAGGCCAAACGATAGGCTCAGAGCCAAGCACGTCCCCGCAG